ATCTGAGAATCTGTAAGCACAAGTTGGCAAACATTACCTGAAGCTTTTGGTAGACTTTTGCTTGGCCAGTGTCTTTCTGTGAAAATCCTTGTATGGCAACACTAATTTCATAGCACAAGTTTTCTGTGTATGTCTGTTCACTTCCATGTCAGCTGCAAGCAGAGAGATTGCACAAATCCACACTGGTGTCATGGTATGAGATTTAGTTCATGTTTTTCTTTGCAATGTGAATAGGAAACTCTTTAGTATTGGGCTGTTTCCAAAACTGAGAAGTGATTTGAGGGGTTTCAGTTTCAGTGAAGCATTGAACCACTACGCTGTTAAAAATCAGGTTTTCTTAGATTCAAGCTGCATCTTTTCAAATGTAAAATATCAGAGTGAACCTTCCTTTAAAGAGCAGCTAATGGGGTCAAGTGAACTGCTCTGCATGCAGCTTGAAAATGGTGATTGTTTAGCCTCTGACTCCTGTACCCACATGATCAGTTTAGACATTAGGGCATAACTGGTATTAAACCTGGGAATCGTTTAAAGCAAACAAGAAAAGCCTTGTCTCTACAGTGGCATAATTTCCTATAAGGTATTAAGGGAAATGGCTTTATGTAAGGAAGGACATTTCTGCCATTCATCACAGAAGAGAAAAGCAAAAGTTAATTTTTTTTATAATGTCATAGAAAAATACTTTTTCTATTTACATATCTAACCATTAAGAATGTTGCAAAGTGACAAATATCTTAAATTACAGTAAATCCATTTTTAAACTTTAATTTTCTCCAAAGTGCCATGATATTAACTGTTATTTTTCATTGTTAAGTATACAGAAACTGTCATAAATATTCAGAAGGGACATTGGGTGTAAACAGTCCAGTGCAGTAGTTTTTGTTTTTTGGAGAACGTGTCTGCATCAGAAGCATGATGTATTTATATGGAGTAACCTCTTTTTTGTACACGAGTTGGATTCCTATGGGTGCTCTGCTAGTTAATATTGTCACTACTATTTTCCTGTTTCATGTGGATTATGGTCTTGAACGTTGTTGTGTAATCATTCCCTTTATTTGTGCACACTTTTTACTTTAAATAAAACATTTATATTAGACCTCTGTGTGTTAAAATCTCAGAGAAATACCGTGAAATGCTGGTCTTGGGATCATCATCTGACCCTTTTAAACTATCCGTATCCCATGGGAGTCTTGTTCTAATCTTTTAATTTCTTGTAGAAAATTGCACTGGGATGGGCCACAGCAAGCCAAGAAATGCCTTTCTCGCCCTGCATTTACCAAACGTGTCTGAGAATGCAGGTTCTGCTCCAGCATCACTCCCCAGCCTCATGCTCTTCTTGTCCTTTGGAATAATACCATCCTTGTAGGTTCTGTCTTTCCTTCCAGCACCAGTGATGAGACAAAAGCAGTGAGGCATCAGTCCTCTGCACAGAGACAGAAATCTTAAAGGAAAATACAAAATGCTACTTTAGCCTGCTCATCCAAGGGCTCTTTCAGCTGGAACTTGTACCACGTCATCTCAGCTGCCAGAGGTGGGATTTGGAGTTCAGAGCAACGCTCTTGCTCATCTGCTGCACTTACTTCTGCATGATTTATTTCTTTGTTTCTTCAACTCCTCCCCTGCATTCTCAGATTTCTGACACAGAGGGTGATGGCACTTAGCTCATACCCTGCCACAGACGCAGTGGTTTAATTTCTGTATTTCACTATCTTTTGAAAGAGATTTTTGTCTTGCCGGTTAGCACGGCTGTGCGTCGGCAATCCTGGCGAGTGCTGCAGATGGCTGCATATCTTACATGCCTAACCTCCCCCCACGCACGCTCCCTGTTTCTGTTCAGTTGGGTGCCCAGCTGCTCTCGCCTCAGTCTGAGCAATTGTTTATGCTGAGGCACTCCGTGGAGGAAGCTAATAGCTTGGATAATCTGTACATACGCTTGGTAAGTGCTAAGCGAGCGGCCTCCCTCCAGCGTGGATGGTGTAAGGCGTTGAAGCAACAGAGGTGTCTGCAGCTGACCACAGAATAATGATGTTTTCCTGGGAAGAGAGAAGGTAGGCATTGGAGCCCCTTTGAGAAAAAAATGATTTTACCATATCTTGCTTTTTTTTTTTTTGCAAAGAGATCCCTCATAGGCTTTTTTAATTTTTTTTTTCTGCTTATAATAAAGGGATCTGGACTGAATACTTGAAAGGTGAACTCTTACGATTTAATCACCAATAATTGAAGGCAGAGCAGCATCTACATCCCAGGTTTGTGCAGCTTTGGTAGGAGGTGGCTTTTTCAGGTATAAATAGAACCAGGAATCTCTTGTGTCCACATTGGACTTCTAAGGATGAGTGAAGTGTCTGGGCTCATACTCCTCTTACATCAGAGGAATTGTTCAAGTACTTCAGGAGCTGAAGTGTTTTGTGCACTGTTCCCACTGTGACTTGTCCTGCAGGATGTGGTGTCTGCAAAATCTATCAACTTTTTGTGCTTAAAACACAACCTGTAATAGGATATCTATTTTACAAGAGTGAAACCTCACATGACAGATTAGCTAAGAGTCTGAACTGTTACAACTTACTATTAAACATGACTTCCAAAGTGATTTTTTTTTTCTTTAAAAAGCACAGTATAATCTCATCAGAGAAGAAAATGCGCATCTTTGTTCACAGTTAAATTGTGCTCTCCAGGGCATAGTTTGTAGTTAAATTGTGTATCTTCAGGGACTGTGTATCAGGGAAGTTTGTGAGCTTCCCCAGAGCCTCAGCACTTCTTGAAAATTCAGACACTTTATTAATCAAAGCAAGATTCCTCCTGTGCTATTAGTGCACTTTATTGCCAGCTGCAGAGGTCTGTAACTCAGGTTTTAGTTGCACAGTGTCTTCAGAACTGCTTTTCACAGTCCACAGCAGAAGCTGTAGGCAGAGCTAACACCTTTTTTTAGACAATTCTCTACCTACAAACTTTGTCTTCCATCGCCTGATTATTGTAGCTCTATAGCAACACTATCATTACAGCACAATAGTTACCAAGATTTGTTACCTGAAATGGAACATTTCTGCTGCAGAACCTGAAAAAAACCCCAACAAATTAAACAATGCCACTGAATCCTAAGCTTCCATGACATCAGGAGGTCTAATAAAAGATGGAATATCTGCCTACATATGTTGCCTTCCTCACAGACATTGATCAGTCCAGCTCCAATGTTAGATGCTACATTTTCTTCAGTAAATTCGAAAAGGATTATGACATAGTGCATTTCACTGATTAGTGTTTGAAGAGACTTTTTTTTTTTTTTTTTAAATCAGGTAATAAAGTCCAAGGGGTGAAGCAGACAGGAATGTCTGTAATGTCTAGACAATTCGCTCATAGGTTCATATCTTTCAGAATCAGCTGCAAAAGCTGATGGATTCAGAAATCTTGTTTAATTCTGCCCTATTGTTGTGGCTTTTAAGCAGCCCTTATATTTGCTTAATAAATAAGTAGTCAGTGTTAGTATTCTTTGCAAAATTTGTTACTTTTCTATAAAACCCTGATGATTTGGGTTAGAAGAGGCCTTAAAGATCACTCAGATCCCAAGCTCTTGTAGATATTGTTGCAGATAGTGCACCTGATGAGGTGGTTGAAGTGCGAGCTAAGAGGTGACTCCTGAAGCAGCTTTGCAGTGATGCTCAAGGGCCTCTCCACCAGCGAGCCAGCCCGGAGGAAACCTGAGCATACCAAAGGTGCGAAATCAAGGAGTAAAGAGCACCAAGCGCCTCTCCCAGCAGACCAGCAGCGTTCTGTGGCCGTGCCATAATCCTCCTGGGACGGCATTAGGGATCCCGGCAGCGCTGCCCGGTGCTAAGCGGTGCCTGGTGCTTGTACAACTGCCCCACTTTCATGCGCTGTGCTTTTGTACTCGCATCAAAATATGTAACTGTGTGGGATGAAAGGAAACGGCAAATTGGATCGCGCCGTAATCCCAGCTGAAGCGCTGTCTTCGCAGAGATGTAAACTGAAAAGCTTTGGGCTTCTTGCAGGCAGAAGAAACTTGTAATACACGAACGAGCTGTACAGCGACTAAGCCGTCCCTGAAGAGCATCTTCCCCTCCTCTCCGCGGTTTGATAATTTCGCTTCCCAAAACACCTCCCGCGAGCCCGTGGCTGGAGGGAGCGGTCTGTGACACTTCGGGGACAGGCACCCTCACACTGACCCGCCTTCCCCGTCCCCAGCAGCGGGGTGCCAGAGCACTGCCCTCCCTCGTGGGGGGACAGTCACTACGAGACCCTTGCCGAGGGATGCTCTTGGAGGGACAGTCACTCAAGGACTCTCATTGAGCGACCTTCTCTGAGGGACAGTCAGTGAGGGATCCCCTTTGCGGGACAGTCACTGAGGGACAGTCAGTGAGGGACAGTCAGTGAGGGATCCCCTTTGCGGGACAGTCACTGAGGGACAGTCAGTGAGGGATCCCCTTTGCGGGACAGTCACCGAGGGACAGTCAGTGAGGGACAGTCAGTGAGGGATCCCCTTTGCGGGACAGCCACTGAGGGACAGTCACTGAGGGACAGTCAGTGAGGGACAGTCAGTGAGGGATCCCCTTTGCGGGACAGCCACTGAGGGACAGTCACGGAGGGCCCCTCGCTGGCGGCCTCTGCCCGCCGCCGCCGTCGCGCCTCAGGCGAGCGACACACCCGACAGCGCCTGGCCCTCCTCCCGCCCGGCTTTCCCCTTCTGCCATGGCCGCTCTGCCTCCCCCGCCCCAGCTGCCGCTCCATCCCTGTCCCTCAGCCGGCCCCTCTCGGCCGCCGACGGGGGAACGGCGACAGGGCGGCGCGGGGGCAGGCTCTGACCGGGCGGGCTGAGGGGCAGCCGGGCAGAAACAACACTTTTCCACGTACATTCACTTTTAAACGCATACTATATTATATTATATTATTTATTTATTTTAATTTTTATTCATCTTCCTGCGCTTCCCCCGCGGGCAGCGGGGGCAGAGGCCGGGCCGGGTTTCCCGCGGCGGGAGGGGGAAGGGCTGAGCCGTGCCCGGAGCGGGGCCGGCGGCGCCGGGTGAGTCACGGCGCGGGAGGGAGCGGCGGCGTCCCGGGAGGGGCTGCGGGGCCGGGGGTCGGTGCCCGGCTGGGGGGCGGCTGGTGCCCCGTCCTTTCGGGCGTGCACGCCGGCAGAGCCGCTCCGGACCGCCCCCTCCCCCGGCGGTGTCGCCCGTCGGTCGGGGCTTGTCCCGGTGTTCCGCGAGTCCCTGGGAAACGCACCCTGCCTCTGGTTTGGGTGGCAGGGGGCCCTAAAGCCCATCTCAGTCCGGCCTCCCCCGCCATGGGCAGGAACGCCTTCCACTGTCCCAGGCTGCTCCAGCCTGTCCTGTCCCCTGCTCCTGTCCAACCTGGCCTTGGACGCTTCCAGGGATGGGGCAGCCACAACTTCCCTGGGCAACCTGTGCCAGTACCTGACTGCTGCTATCACAGGGAATAATTTCTTCCTTCTATCGAATCAAAACCTTCCCTCTCTCTGTTTAAAGCCATTCCCACTTGTCCTGTGACTCCTGTCACACTTTTGCCCTTGTCAAAAGTCCCTCTCCAGCTGTCTTGAAGCCCCTGTAGGTACAGAGCAGACCCTGGGATTGCTTGTGATGGCCTCTCTCTCTTTCACAGGTTATCAGGAAGGACGGGCAGAACTCTGTGCTAGCACACGGCATGCATTCAGCCCATGGCCTGGATCTCACCTCTATTGCTAATAACTTGGGCTGGGAAAATTCTGACACACGCCAGTGACATCTGGGCGAAAGGTGACTCTCTAGGGACGTTTAGTTTTTGCCGTCGAGCTGGATCAGCCTTTAATTTCAGGATTTATTTGTGAGCTGCCATAGTAGCTGTCACAGTCGTGGTGGTGAAATCATAAAGCTGGCAGCACAATAAAGCAAGCCCTTAAGATTGTGTTTGATCTCTGGGAGCTGAAAGTGCTGAATAAAATTTTCACACAACTTAAACTACGTTTTGGATCAGTTTCGTTAAGATTGACGTTCTTCTAACTGAGCCCGTTTTTCTATTTTAATATTTAAATAGAGACTTATTTGAAAAGACAGTATATTTTTTAAAGGAAAAAAAACGATTGAAGATGAACATGCATCAGTGCATCATTTTTTACTAAATTGCTGGACAAGACTACTGTGTGAAGTAGTGGCTAGGGTATGAAGAGAACCTTTTCTATACATATTGCATTGGGCTTTTTATATTATAAAATTGAACAAATAACTGAGAAAACAGTGTAACCTCTCCATTAGAAATTTTATGGTATTACATGCAAAATGGGTTACAATTTTTACTGTTGGAGGCTGAAGAAGTAATGTTTTAATGAAAGGAGCATGCAGCTTGGTGTACCTGAGGTAATCCAAGATCACGTGAAACTATTTTTTATATGAAAAAGCAAGAAAATGCACATTCAAGACTGGCTTAATTAAAGCTCAGTGTTTAGCAATGGAAAGCCCACAGATAAACTTCCCTCTAGGTCTGGTTTCAGACCAAAAAAGGAGCAGGATCCAAGAGGATGGGAGTCCTCCACTGAAAAAAGCAATGACAGAAATGCATGTAAATAACAAAGTACAGGTAGTAATAAATAAATTGCCAACAATAAAGAAGGAAAACCTGGATGACTATGACGAAACTCCGGTGGAGGCTGATGGGGAAACCACCAAGCCAAACAGTGCTTCACTATCTGAGCCTTTGAGTTTAAATCCAGGTTTGAAACACACGTTGGCACAGTTCCACCTGAGCAGCCAGAGTTCACTGGGTGGACCTGCAGCTTTTTCAGCTCGCTGTTCCCAGGAAAGTATGTCACCCACTGTCTTCCTGCCTCTCCCATCACCACAAATCCTCTCTGGTCCGCTGCTCATCCCCCCAGACAGCTCCACGGAACTCACGCAGACCCTGCTGGAGGGGGAATCCATCTCTTGTTTTAAAGTCGGAGGAGAAAAAAGACTTTGCCTGCCTCAAGTGTTGAATTCGGTGCTCCGAGACTTCTCCTTGCAGCAGATCAACACGGTGTGTGATGAGCTCTATATCTACTGCTCCAGGTGCACTTCTGACCAGCTTCACATTCTGAAGGTTTTGGGAATTCTTCCGTTCAACGCTCCGTCCTGTGGGCTCATCACGCTGACGGACGCTCAGAGACTATGCAATGCTTTACTGCGCCCTCGCACCTTCCCCCAGAGCGGCAGCTTCCTCCCTGGCAAGAACACCTTGGCCCAGCTGAAAGAGACTGGCAGTGCCTTCGAAGTGGAGCACGAATGCCTGGGCAAGTGCCAGGGGTTGTTTGCACCTCAGTTCTACCTTGCCCCGGATGACCCTTGTATCCAGTGCTTGGAATGCTACGGGATGTTCTCGCCCCAGACCTTCGTGATGCATTCACACAGATCCCCGGACAAGAGGACCTGCCACTGGGGGTTTGAGTCGGCCAAGTGGCACTGCTACCTGCACATTAACCAAAAATACCTGGGCACGTCAGAGGAGAGGGAGCTGAAGCATCTCCTGGAGGAAATGAAGGAGAAATTCAGCGAGAAAAATCAGAAAAGAACTCGGTCCAAAGTAAGTTCACCTGGTGTAAAATTCCCAGATCTCTTTCTGCTCACATGTAAATACTTGTTTTAGAAGCACATTACTTGGCTTTTCTAAGTGGGAATACTTGTCACATGAAACCTAAGTTAAATTTGTGAGAGCTTCACCATGGAAATAACATTTCTCATTTCTCATTAATTTCTTTCCTCTTTGGGCTGCAAGTCACCATTCAAGCTGGCTTGGCTTTGTTGGTTCTTGTTCTGTCCTAAGGTATAAAGACTCTAGAAAATTCAGGCTGTTGTGAAAATTTTTGTTCTCCCATTTGACCTTTGAGTAGGTTTATGCAGCGTGTGCTGCAGCAGCTGAGCAAAGCAGAAAGGAGCTTGAAAATCAAGTATTACAAATGAATTCTTCATTTGTTATTTGTACTCCAGCATGCACACGTGGGCTGGATGGCAACCTGGCTTGCTGGCCACCCATCTCATGACTTGTGTGCAGGGTAGTGGTGCTTTGCTAAATGGCTATTTAGAAGCCCAAAGTCTGCTTGTTCAGCAAGAGCTTTCTGTTTAAACCACTTGTGCAGTGAAATATGCCAAAAAGAGGGAGTTTTAAGCAGCCCAAGTAATGAGCTGTGGGCCGGTATCTTGACAATAGTTAATAATAGACATCTTATTTTTTCCTAAAATACTGCTGCAAGTCTGTGCTGTGGTTCCAAAATACAGAGCTTTTTTGTCCCTTGGAGAGCTTCTACTTTAAATAATAGGACAAGCAGCAAAGAAGCATTAATATCATAGATATTCCCATTCATAGAAAACACAATTTTGGGGTGTAAACTTTAATAGGCTTTTAATGGTTTCTGCCCCATGACAGTTTCTTTTCAGTGCATTCAGTGTTTCTATGTCTGTTTGATGGCTGCTGGTTTGATAAATCCATGTTGCCTGTTGGATGTTTTGTGGTGGATTTCAAAATAGCAGCAAGAGCAGCACAGATGGTTGAGCCCAAAAAGGGGTGCTATGAGCTGACACCTTTCAGCACAAATTTCTGAAAAGTTGGTGTTGCAGGAAGGCTGACTGTAGTAACAGGTATTGTTACAGTGGTGCCAGTCTGCAGGAAGAGATTTTACCAGCAGATTCCCATGGAAGTCTGCAGTATGGCATGCTTCCACATGCTGAATTATTTGAAGATGCAGTCTCCTAGCAAAGAGACTTTGCTTTTCAACTGATCAAGACATGTCAGTCTTTATTCTTGCAATGCCAGTGTAAGAAATGAACTACAGCATGGCAGGTGCATCAGTGGAAATATTCTTCCATATTCACACCTATAAATGCTGCTTTTCTCCCCACTGCAGCAGATTTCACATAATGAGATCTTTCAGTTTCATCTGCAAAGATGAAAAAAACCCAGCTGAAATGAACAGTGGCACTAATTGGGACTGGACTGATGCAAATGAAATTGTAAAACTTTCTGCAGTCTTCTGTTGCAGACCTCTGTAGTTCTTTCTTACAAAGCAATGTGTGAAACCAGAGTCAGAAGCTGTGGAAACCTGAGCAAAGTACAGTGGTGAGGGAGGTTTTGGAGCTTTTTTTTGTCTTGTGGATATTCATCTGGGAAGTAGAAAAGAGTAAGAAAAACTGTAAGAAGGCAGTACTGGAGTACAGTTTCCCTTTCCTTGTCCTGGGGGAGCTTAGGCTGCTTCAGTTGTCTTTTCATAGAATCACAGAGTGGTTTAGGTTAGAAGGGACTTAAAAATCATCTCATTCCATCCCCTGGCCTGGACAGGTTCACCTTCCTCCAGATTGCTCACAGCTCCATCCAGCCTGACCTTGAACATCTCCAGGGATGGAGCAGCCACAGCTTCTTTTCCTCATTTCTGTGTTGTGGGACAGGTATCAGGTACAACACGTAGACATTCCCTATCCTTACATTCCGAGGGGAATTTATTTGCAGGTTGTTCTGTTTGCTGTTCTGTCACCTCCTCACCACCTTTGCTGAGTCAGCAGTCAGAAATGCTGACACATCCTTTGTGGTTGTCTTGGAGGACCCAGGAAGAACAGTTGCCCTTGGCTAGGTCTTTCCCCATCCAGTAATAATGAATTAATTAAATCCCATAGTCTGTGGAGCATCCTGGATGCCAAGCTTTGCCTTTCTCCTTAGCATTTCACTCTGAGTTTATTCACCTCACAGTGCAAATACACTTTTGTTTCAATATTTTAAGAGCAAAGTACTCTTGAGATGAATTCCTTTCTGTCCTTTGTGCTAACAAGAAAGCTGTAAGCTGTGTGCTTGATTGTCACAATTTTCTGTGGCGTTCTAGGCTGCAGTGCAACATCCACCTGCTCTTCATGGAACAGCTGTCACCGAGTCTCTGCTGATTCCTGCACTGACAGATCCTTGTTCCCTTTGACTTTGCGACAGTTTCTCGTCATCTCTGCACTAAAACTTTGCCTTCCTTCTCAGGCTGATTCCTTGAGCTGGTCACAGTGTGTGGGGGAAATCTCACAGGGTGGGGGTTTTATAAATCCAATCTCTGCTAGAACTACTGGCTTCATGCTTACACTGAAACCATTACTTACCTGTATTTTTTTTCCTTAAAGAACGGCTTTGTCCAACTAGCCTTGAAGAAAAATATGTCATTTTTCATGTAACCCTTTTTAACAGTTTGAGTAGAAGTAATTCAATTCAACTTACTGTGTTTATAGAATTACTTAAGAGCATCTAAAATAAGCAGATTGTTGGGTAATGAAATAGACATATGTATATATAAATAGATGCCTTATTTCATTTACCTGAACGGTGAGGGAAGAATCCTGTTAGAAAAAGACTTCGTTTATTTATGGCAACATTTCATTTTCTTTCCTAAGTAAAAATTTGATTGCATGCTATGAGATTCATTTGCAAGATTCACACTAACGGGTAGACAGTAAATTCAGTTTCCACTTAAAATAGGTAAAAAAAAAGAAAAAGCAAAAATGTGACCTAGTAATTTGAAAATAGAGATGACCTGATAATTTCTTATGTAAATATATAAGCATGTTAAAATATGAGTCCTGAAATATGGACAAATGTGATCTGAAGCTAAAATCAGATCACTGCATACTAGCTGCAGTATTAGTAGATTATATGTGATTATTTAAATTATTGGAATGATCTGAGTAAGTAGAAAAAACTTGGCAAGTGTCAGGATGAGGCCGTTTTTCTAGAGATTATTCAAATCTTTTTTATTTAAAGCCTTTTTATGAATTTACAACTCCAGAGCCTCTCTTCCTTGTGCCCTCCGTCCTTTCTGTCTGTGTTGGAAGTGATTTGAGGAGCTGCAGGGGTGCAGTTGCATTTCAGTTTCATTGTGGGAGCTGAGTTTCCTGGGGTGGGAGTTTTGGTCAGGATGGGGCAGGTGGGGTTTGGTCCCTGCCAGGGTCAGGGTTGTTGGATTGTGCAGACCATGGCTCAGGGATCTCACTGCCAGGGCTCAAAAGGTTCTCTAAAGGTTTATTCCAGGGTGTGTAAATACCAACTTTTCTGATAATGTAGCACATAGGAAGTTATGAAGATATTAGAACACTACCTAAAGGTTTCAGTACAGGATTATGTAACTTTTTTAGCTTTATGGGCTGTTTCTTTATTGGGCAGCTTGTCAGAGGTACTGGGTCTGGCTGGAATGATGTTGGCTTTGTAGCAGCCTGTATGGTGCTGGGCTTTGGATTTGTGGCTAAAACTGTGGCTAACAGTAGTTCTGCCTACTGCAATAAAACCTGGGATAGAAGGAACAGTCCCAAGGCCGTTCCAATACAGTGAAATTATCAAACAATTTCTTAACTATGAGAATATTATAAATATATTATGGTGAGACACTTTTCAGTTGAAATTAAGAGCAGTTTCGCAGGGGAGCACAAAGTATCACCAGGAATTTTGAGTAAAGAGTACCTCCAAAAACATTTATTGAGACACAGAACAAGAATTGCTTTCCAAATGCAAAATACACAGAAGTTTTTAAGATTACATATTCTGATACACCTGAGTAAATTTTGTTTGCTACTGCAAAGGGAATGGCATTTTCATGCTACTGGGAGCAGTATTGCCTACTATGTAATAAAAATTTGTGATGACTGAAGAAAGTTCTGTCCCTGGAACACCAGCACACTGTTCCATTTAATTTTGAAATAAAGTATCTGGCAGGTGCTTGCTTTATATAAACACATTATTACAAAAGGCTCCTCCAACCTTTTGGGAATCCTAGTTTCTGCTTTCTGTTTCTCCCAGACTTGTTTAAAAGAGTTTTGGAAACTCAGCACAACTCTTAGATAGGTCTGTAAAGAAGTTATTCTTTAATTTCATTGCACTTTTGCCCACGGTGGTAAATTGGAGATCAAAGAATTCTGTGGCTTGCATCACCCTGCATCTTTGCCAAAGACACCCCATTTCCCAGTGCCCAGATTCTCTGGTGTACCTGTATTAATGGTGTAAATGCCATTTCTCTGAGGAGTCTTTATGAAAATGTAAATAACCTGTATCCATGTTTCAATTACCAATTTATTTTCTTTCCTTTAGGCAGAGCCACAGCAGAACCTGGAATTACCACAGTGGTATCCAGTTATAAAGCAAGAAGCAGAAACTGATCCTCAACCACCTTCCTTTTTCCACCCCAGGTAACTGAGTTTCCTGTGTAGACCTGTAAGCACTGACAAGTATTAAATACTTTTGACTATTTAGGGATAATTCAAACTGAAAAAAAATGTATTTGCTGAACAGTTAGGAATAATCTTAAGGTATCACACAGGAATGATTTAACCCTAAATTTTTATGTATTTCTTAGTGTAAAAACTACTGAACTGCTTATGAGTGTTTCTTGGTATAGGACTCAAGCTGTGTCCTGTAGGTGTTCTTCAGCAGGCAATACAATTGAAATGTAATTAAATTTTCCCCTTTCTTAGTAGAAATGACAGAGGTAACTTCTGATCTTTCATATTGTAACACAATGCATACATATGGAAAGCTGCACAGGGCCTGTTTACCATGAGGACAACTTAATTTCCTTTCAGAAAAGACTTCCAAGAGATGTTTGAAGGCTTTCTTCCCCAGTGGAACAGGGCTGCAGCTGGATTGTCTGTGGGCTGGTTTCCTGGTTTTAGAGACCAAGTGCATTTCCTTGACTCCTTATCCAGTTTGTCACCTGCAGCAGTGAAGGAAATGGTTTTTCTTGATACTCCCCTTGCCCTCACCCCCTGTGGTTGCACAGGTCCTGAATTTGGGTCAGAGCAGGCCCTTTTTGGTGCACACACATCACACTGGTTCCCACGCAAAGAAGGGAGTGGAGGAACTTCTGTGATGGGCCCTCATGTTGTTTCTGCCAGTGCCTTCCTTCAGAACCTGGAGAAAGGGAAGTGTTGAAGACATCAGATGGAGCTCCAGTGGCACTTGGTGATCTTGGCACTGACCTGAGCACACCTGGGGCTCTCTTCCCTCTGTACTAGGCTGAGGTGAAGGTGGGACACAGGGATGCTCCCAGGGGTCCAGGAGCTGTGAAAATCCAAATGGGCAGCTCAGTGTACCTGGGAAGGAAGGTCCAGCATTGGTCTCAGATGTGCCCCAGGACTGTCAGAACACAGATTTGTTACTTAAGTGAGGTGCTCATTCCCACTTCACTGATCACCTCCCATCCTCATAAGGATTATGAAAATGCTGGAGAGTCTGGATTCAGTGGCATTCTAATTTCACTCTTTACATTTAAATAAAGCCTTCATATTTTTTACTGTAATTTTTTAAAATCAGCCATGTTTGAAAAATCTACTTGTTTGATAGGTTCAAAACCTTATCTAGATAATCTACTCAGTAGAGATTAAGTGGGTTGTTAGGCTTTCCATTTGCATAGGAAAAATTTTAAAGGATGTGCTTATTTTTCATTGATGCTTTCACAGTTTGAACTCATGTTAAACTTACTGCTCTCAACCAGCCATCATTTATTATGTCTTTCACTATGAATTTTACTCTTCTGCTGTTTTTTCAGTTACTACCTTTATATGTGTGATAAAGTGGTTGCCCCGAATGTGTCTCTTGCATCTCAATATAAGGATGTTGCAAAAACATCAGTAAAAGCTTCAGAAGTTAATAAATCCTCACCTGGGCAGTCAGAGAAGAAGCTCAGTAGTGGAAAGCACAAAAAACCTGCCTCCTATCCAGAGCTTTCTCTTGAAGAACAGGAAAAAATTGACTTGAAAACTGGGGTGGAGCAGCCAAATAAACGTTTAGGTGAGTAGTGAAAATTACATTGAAGGCTTTGATTTTTGTACCATGGAATTTTGGAAAGCTTTACACTGAGCTAGAATTTTGTGATGTCATTTCAGGTTTCCAAAAATTCCCTCCACCTATTTGTAATCTCAGTTTCCTTTGCATTTTTTTCTGGAATTTGAGCTTTCTGTGATTATTGTTCTGTTTTTTCCTGTGTAGACCCTCCCGTGACAGCTCGTTCTGCGAGAGGTGCAAAGCCTGAGCGCGTTTCTTCCAAGATCACCAGGGACTCTGGCCGTGCTGAGGGAGCTGCTGATGCACGAACCTTGTCCCCCACGCTCATGAAGGACATCAGCTGTGAGGATGACAAGGGGAGGATCATGGAGGAAGTCATGAAAACCTACATCAAGCAGCAGGAGAAGCTGAACACGATTCTGCGGAGGAAGCAGCAGCTCCAAATGGTACCGTGGCAGTCTGAGAGCATTTCCCCCTGGGCAGCAGGGAGCTGGCTCCACAGTCAGCATCCCAAATTGCATCATTCAGAAACACAGAGCACACAGATCATCTTCCCCTCAGCTTAAATCCAGACACCAAATTTTCAATATCTCTGATGCTCATGGGTGTTGAGCCCATTAATAAGTGGTGACTCTTCAGTTTGCAGCTGCTGGGTCCAAGGAGCTCCTGCTTTTGCTGTGTGCTCTAAAATTTCTCAGTTTTCAGGTTTTTGAAGATGCAGATATCAGTATTCTAAGGAATGGTCTTATCATTGCCCTGTATAAAAAAGAACACCACTTTCCTATTCCCATTTGCTAAGCTGTGCTTTTAGGGATTTTGTTTTTAGTCTTTTCTTTAATAATGGATTATTTTAGATGCTGGTGTTAATTTGTGACATTTCTGTTTTCTGAATTCAGTTAAATAGTGTCTTTGCTTCTTGTATCCATGGAACAGAACTAATATTTTAGTTTATTTTATTTTAATTTAAATGTTAATCTCAGAATCCAGGAGCTCAGATAGGGCCCTAGAGCTACTACTTTAAACTTGTTCTGCTGTTGGAGCTAAAGCTTATAGATAAGTTTAAAAAAAATACAAGTTTAAAAATATCAAAATGTCAGTGGACAAAGAAATCAAACACTTCATTTTGTTTTATGGTGCTACACCTCTTGCATCTTCAAAGTATATTTTAGTAAATCAGTGCTTCTGCTTCCTGAGCTTCACTGCTGGAAATGCAAATTTGTTTCTGAAAGCTCCATGTACCTGAAAGTGGAAGTAATTTCTTTAAAATTACATGCATGTTACAGGATTGCATGCTGTCAGTGATAAGTAGATAAATACCATTATCAGGCTGTTGTTATGGGTAGTTACAAATGGTCTTTTTTGACTCATTGGTTCCAGAAACACTTTTAAATTGAGGGCTTTTTTTACTTTTCTGGTGTTAGGAGGAAGGAGTATGTGATCTTGATCTTTCTTTACAGGAAGTGGAAATGTTAAGCAACTCTAAAGCTATGAAGGAACTGACTGAAGAGCAGCAGAACTTACAAAAAGAACTCGAATGTTTGCAAGCAGAGCATGCACAAAGAATGGAAGAATTTTATTTTGAGCAGAGGGACTTAGAGAAGAAACTGGACCAAGTGATGAAGCAAAAATGTAGCTGTGACTCCAATCTGGAAAAAGATAAAGAAGCTGAATATGCAGCACAGGTGAGAAGGGAAGGTTTATTTCAATAAAACATGTATAGTGTCTCAGGAAATTGTGAAGTTGTTCAGCCACCTGAAGGTTTCATTTTCTCTGTGTGTTCTGACACCACAGACAGATACCAAAATAGGTCAGGGACAGCAATATTTATTGTCCTGTTCCTTGATTGAAACTGAAGCAGAATGTAACTTACAGAAACATATGATATTATTGATGAAATATTAAACTTAACCATGAGGTCTGTTACATCCTTATTTAAAACAAATTCTGTTTTTAATGTATTGCCCGTGATACAGATTTAAACATTATTATTATTTTATGTTAAAAAAAAAAAATCCAAACCTTGGAACCTTCTTTTTGTCAGATTAGCAGCATACCTTGCTGCTCCTCATGTTCCTTGATGGTAGAACCTTCTGCAGTATCTGCTGAGACCCTTCTGGGCTCTACCAAAACATTGGGCCAAGAGTTTTCTTGGAAATTAAAATCATATTGGTGTATCTCATTCTTGTCTCTTGGATTCATATGTCAAAACCTGTGGAGTTGTTTTTTCCTCTCGCTTTGCTTTTAGCTTTTACTATTGCTTCTTTATGTTAGAGTTTATTCCAATGGGAAAAAATATAATTAATGATAAAGGGAACCTTGGAATGCCCCTTTTAAAAATCAGCTGTAGTTATGATTAATTTTTTTTTAATTTTGCACCACATCACAAAAAACTAATCTTAACAGGCTCATTTTAAAGAAAATTAACAAAATCTAAAACTTGAGTTCAGTGAAGCTCTGTGGTCCTTTGTTCACAGCTGTGTATATTTCCTGTTCAGACTGACTCAAACTGAGAAACAGGCCCTACTTGAGAGACAGGTTTTGGTATTTTTGGTGAGTAGGGCAGAGACTCGCATCGTAAATCCTTCTCATGAATTTAATTTCATGACATCCCACTCCACTGATTCCTGGCCTTTGCTGCCAGAAATAATCCTCTCTGACTAAGGCCTGATTTACTAAACATCTGGTACAAGCCCTGTTAGTGCAAGTAACAACGTGTTCTAATTTATGGAGATCATCATGTACAGCATGTTTTATAGGGCTTGTGCAGCTTACTCCCTTTGGAGGGTGAAAACTGTGGATTGTTCCCCAAGGAGATTGGTTGTGTGTTTCTTTTGAAGTTAGACTTTGAAAACTACGTACATTCCTTGTGTAAAAGTTTACTCTGTTATTACCTCTGTGCTAGATCTATTCACAACGTATAATTTGAACATTTTTTTTTCCATTTATCACATCTTGCAGTAGATTCTGGTTCCAAGAAGCACCAGAGTTAAACAGGTCTTGGGAACAGAGAATTTCCCCAAGCTGTGTATACAGCATTTTTAAAAAGCCTTAATCTGACGTGTTCTTGAAGCAGTTGCCCAGGCTGCCTTCTCTGTCTGAGAACTGTGGACTAGGAGGAATCCTTGTGCATTAATCAGAATTAAGAATTTGGTATTTGCAGCTTGCTTAAAAGTGTCTTCTCCATTCAGACATAGGCCTGTCTGAATATGCACTGTCTTGTCCCCTTTTTTGTCTTCTTTATTGAAATACTTGCTTCACCCTGCCAGCCACAGTAAGGCAGAATAACCAGTCCTGGAACCTTTCCTTAGAGCTGGAAATGAAAGCCAGGGGCGTGTTGCAGCATGCAGGCAGTGGCACTGTTGCACTGCAGCACTTCACTGCATCGCTTGTGCTGCAGTCAGGACTTGCATTAACAGCCTGTTGTTGGCTAGGAACTGCTGGAGTATTTCTGATGGAAGAAGTGGGGATGAAATGTGGTGTTTCTGTAAAACCAGCACAGCCATCCCTTCACCCAGTACATTCTGTAGCACTTGGTGAGCCCCAGTAACACCCTGTATGTTCCTGCTCTTGCCTTCTCATGAGTTGTCTTCTTAATTCTCAGTGGGAGGGATGCTGAGTGATGATGCATGTCACATAGATACCTATCATTCTAAAGGCAGATGGGTTTTTTAGATTGAATTAAATTGCAATAAATTATAAATAAATTGGATGGTCTTTTAGTAAGAAATAACCCCATGAATCAATGGGAGAGAGGATATCTGCTTTCCAGTCTCCTCCCTGTTTTAACTGCTGGTATTATACTGTAAGCAATAAGTAACTTTCCCACTTAACTTAAAAAGATGTTTCCAGATGTCACTGTAAATAATTTTGGTGACATTCTAGCAAGTTTGAATCTTGTTGTATTCCAAAGAGGAAAAGAATACTTAATTTCTGTGTTTAAACACAAAATGTATCACAAAAACATTTGTGTGGACTCAGGTTTAAATTTGAACACATACACACACAGATGGTTATGTTCAAGATTTTCTGAATATTTCATTTATACTAAGGAATATCTGAAGACAGTGTTGATGATTTTTTTTCTTCTATAAATACATTCAGGCTTTGAAATAAGGAAGTAATATTTTATCAGGTAAGGGAATTGGACATGAGAAATGAAAAAATGCAGTTTGTTCTGGGATTTGTGACACATCCAATGCAAACATCATCACAATTTTTCCCTGCAGATTCTGTGTGTTATTGACAGTCTGGTGTGACAGTTCATATAGCTACAACTCACATGGATTTAAAAATTAGATTTTCTCATTTTTTAAATTGTAGTATGATGTTTATGTAACGTTGCACATTGACATTGTTTGCTAATGCCATAGCAGGTAAGTGCGCAATTCTTGGTAACTGCATCATTCTGGAGGATTGAAATGCATAGAGTGGCCACCTGTGACCCTTTGATATTTGCTAAAATTTACTCTGCCTCTTGTCTCTTGTGTTTCACAGCTGGCAGAGTTGAGGCAGAGGTTGGACCATGCAGAGGCAGATAGACAGGAGCTCCAGGATGAACTGAGACAGGAACGAGAGGCCCGGGAAAAGCTGGAGATGATGATAAAGGAACTGAAGCTACAGATCCTGAAATCTTCAAAAAGTGGGAAAGGAAAATAGGAATTGGAAGAGGGAGCATGACTGTGTCCTTCAAACAGGGTGTTTTGGTTTTAATGATTGTGAACAATTTTTGTGTGCTGAGGAAAAGTGTTCTCTATGGATTTCTATTTCCCAGACAGGTCCAGATGAAGATATACATAGATATAAATAAATAGAGATAGACATTTTTAGATTTTCCTAGCAATGAAAATCTGCATTGATTTGTACTGGTGTTTTTCTCAAACAATGAAAAATAGAAAACTCTTGATTTAGAGTGACCAGTTTCTGTCTATTTCTAATGCAGTCTTAAGGACTCTACACCTTTTAACATTGTCTGTTAAAACATATGTGGGTATCTTTATTTTGCTATCAATTGCACATCCAGTTATAAAAGTACATTGAAAATATCCTCAATTCTTCAAGGTCTTAAATAGTTTGGGTTTCAGTGAGAATTAAATATTCTTGAACTGAGGAAACTAAAGGCAGCTTTTTGTCTGTAAGGCAGAGCTCAAAATTGCCACAACTGATTGATGATTGAGTATCAAAAGTGATTTACCAGCATGAGTTTTTCCCATAATTTCATTGTGTGAAGTCAGCTGATCTTTGCAGTATTGTCTATTAACAGCTCATTATCAATCTAAGGAGTGTTAAAGCCAGCACTTGCTTGCTCTGCTGGAAAACATTAGGGGTTGGGGTTATTTTGTTTCATTTTGGATTTGTGAATTTAAAAAAAATTGCAATTACAGTGGAATCTTGGGAAGTTAAAAATTCACAAGCTTTCTTCTGTTTTTTTTCTGTCTAGTACATGTGAAAGAAACATAAAAAAAAGGCTTAAAGGTGGGGCTTTTCCTTTTAGAAACTGAGAAAGCTTTACTTAACTGTTTTTCAGATATTAACGCTTTCAAGAAAAAGAATATTTATTAAGGAATATGTATTAATTTCTTCAGTACCCTAAGCCTCCACACTTTGAGCTTCTTGCCAACTTGTGGATTTTTCTTTCATCATATAGAACAGGCCTTAACTGACATTGTGATCATAGCTTAAAATATAAAATTCTGAGGTATGGCACTTTGAAAAATCATTTTGATAGTCTCTGTATTTGAACGGCATGGTAGGGTTACCATGAATTAAGAAAATACAGCATGTTTGTTAAGCTATAACATTGGGAAATGTGTAATTGTACAGAATTACTGTTTTATGTATGTATATAATGTCTGAGTACTTCTGAAGTCTGGTTCCTAGTGGGTTAAATGCATGGCTAAAGTTGGATGAAGAAAAACTTTTTTGCACTTCTCTCCAAAAAATTGGATACAGCTGGCAGATGTCAGCTGATCATGTCAGTGATAGGAATATTTTAGTAGTTCTAGTGTCTCAAGACATAATTTTAACTTGTGCTTTTACTTTCTGGTTTTGAGGTACTTAAGTTGAATATTCTCATAATAATTCAGTTAATTTTGGATGAAACCACTACTAAAAACCTACACTGATTTTTTTTTTTCCCCTCAGCTAGTAAAACTGAAAACTCCTGTTCTTTTTTGTTTCTCTGTTAGTGATATAACAAGACTGAATATTGCAGAGAAAGATAAAATTGCACATATCTTTAAATTGAATGAGAAATGAAGTGGTAAATTAAATGACACAGAGTATTAGGATGATTTTTAAAATAATTGTATTTTGTTTATGAGCTCTGTGTCATATTTACACTGACAAGTAAAAGCAAGTTAGATTAAAAAAAAGAAAAGTCAGTGTTGAGAATCATAGAATGGTTTGGGTTGGAAGGGATCTTAAAGATCATCTAGTTCCACCCCCTGCTGGAAAAGAGTACCAGGATTATATTTTTCTCTTCTTCAGCGCCCATCTCAAATTTTTTCCTTTGGAAAGGAAACAAAAATTTCAAAAAAAAAGGAAAAAAAAGGAAAAAAACAAACTAAAAAGGAAAAGCCTGTCTTTGCAGCTTGGTTTGGAGGGAAAGGTGCTGACTGAATGTTTCTGGTTGTGTGTGCACCTCTCGCTTTACAAACACCAGGGATGTTTTGTTGTGCAGCCGCCAGAGCCGTGGCACAGGGAGAGCAGGCAGGGGCATGGCTGGAGGTGGGATGGCTGGGGAGCAGAGCTGGAGGCTGTGCAGTGCATTGGCAGAGCCTGTGCTGGATGAGCTGGGAATGGGGAAATCCCACCTGGCTGCTGCTGAAGGATGGAGAGAGCTCCTTTGTGCTGCTGCTTGGGGTTGTGGGGCAGGCTGAGGCTGTGGGTTCTCACAGCTGCAGTGCCTGGTGCACCACAGTATTCATAGCTGAGCTGTGGGATGTTTGGAACCCTGCTGGGATTATTCTCTTAGTAGGATGGTGAATATTCCATTTCCATTCAGGTCTTGTCTGTGTCCTTGTCCTGCTCAGATGTTCCCCTTGGCCAGTGGTTGTTCAGCAGTGGCCGTGGAGGGCTGGTGCAGCCCAGGTTGCTGTGCCTCAGCCAGCACTAGGGTCACTGCTGGAGGCTCTGGAAATGCTGTGGCCTTCCTTTGCACCAATGAAAAGGTGGCCATCCTTTGTACCAAAATTTTCACTGTTGCAAGAACTCCAGCAGCTATAGGAAGTTTCACCAATTCCAATTGCAGATAAGGCCTCCTACTTATTTTTGAACATCTGGCTGGTAAAGCCAATGGAACATTTATTAAAATGACCTTAAAAGTAGCTTTGTAAATATTCCATTTAGTTAATCTAAAGTTAGAATGCATTTTAAATTATTGTAATCCTCTTAAAATTCTTAAATACTACTTTCAGGCTCTTGACGTAACATAAACAATTTTCATATGTGTAGACTTAATTTTATACTGATTTTAAGTAATAATGTATACATGAATGTGCCATAGACCTTTGTGTGCTCACAGTCTCTGAAAGATAGTTTTTTAGTAAATTGTAAATAATGCTCTTAAGTTTTAGAAAAAAATATATGTTGACCTTTTTTTTTGCTACCTTATCCTAATTCTGTTGAATGGTTCATTTTACAGCCTGACATAGGAACTTGGAATGCACACTTGAGGGCCCTCACTTAAGTGCACACTTAATGGTAGAGACTAAATCAGTCATTAGGTCTTTGCTTTTAGTCATAGCATGCTCATTTTATGTATTATTTGGTTTGCCTTCAATCATTGCTTACTGATCTTTTCAGGCAAGAACTAATTTTCCCAGGTAGTTGTGACATGAAACCTGTAGAACAAAGCCCTAAAATTGTCTATAATTTGAAAGTTGCTTTCTTAAACACCTACACCAAGATGGAAGTTGCCTAGTGCACCTTTTGGAATAAGTAGGATTGGGGGTGAATACCTAATTTGCTCCTATACTTTTATAAAAGAGAAGTTTAACATGCTTTGTATACTTTAATCAATAAAATATGAGAGCTTAGAGGGTAAAACTCCTGTAATTTTGGCAGTCTGGAAACACCTCACTCACAGTGTAACCAGGTGTCCCTCAATGAAAGAGATTTTATCTAAATCTCCAAACTTAGTTAAGTCTGTGTTTTAGTTTTTGTAAAGCATATCATTCAGTTGGAGTATTTAGATGAATGTAGTTATGTTTCACATTCTTAAACTAATTTTATTCTATATTTAATATATTGATAGCATAGGTGTAAAACCATCTGTACATAGTAAAGGCATAATGCAATTAGTGATGTAGGAAAAGTGGGTGGGAGCATAAAGCTACTGGTGGCCTGAAAAATAAGTCTTGGCCTGTATTTTAGAAGTCACAATGTTTTATTCATACATTCTTGTTTTGTACTGGGGGAGGGGATAGCTAGAATGTGTTATGAAATTTTTGGAAACCTTTCCTAGCATTAGTTGGGAAGTTGGCCTCGAAATGGTGTCGTGGTCAGCTTCCTAGAATTCACTTGTTTGTAGAGTATATATTTTGATTGTCAGTAAAGATAACAACTTTGTATTTTTTCTGCACTTAATTCGTGTAATTAATCCACACAACAGAGTTTTCTATAACATGGTGGAGTCTACAAAAGAGGTAATTTCTCCTACCTATTAATCTGTGCTTGCAATACTTTGGTAATTTTATTTAAGCCATTGCTAGTAAGCAGCAGAAAGCTGCAAATTTCAATTTTCTTTTTGCTCATTACATTTGTAGTGTGAGTGTTCATTGGTTTTCTTTACAGAAAGCTTGTAGAATTTTCTATTTGCTGAATATATCTATTTAAAAAATGCAGTTATTTTTAGCTTTTGTGAAAGCAGTTATTGCTTACGAATTGCACGACGATTTTATAGTGTGTCTCCATTACTTAGCAAATTGTTTTTTTCAGGGTTAGTGGTTCAGTTGAAAAATGCTTGAAAAATAAGTTTTAAGCACTTCATCAAGCACAGCAAACACAGTATAAAATTTTGCTATTTGAAATTTAATTAAGTGTAACGATATCAATTGAATTTTTTTTCTTCTAAGAGATACCTCACTTAAAGGAAAGCACAGCTGTACTGTATTTAAACAAATTCTAGGAAATAATAAAAAGTTGGTCTGAAATATTTCGTTGCCATCACGTTGCTTTCTGTGATTGACAGAACATTTTTTGTGTTTTCATCCTCACTCTCTGAAATATTTATTCCTGTTGACATGCCAGTATAATTCTCTCAGATGACAGAAAGTAGCTGCAAAACAGCTGAGTCCGTGTTAGCTCAAGGCAACAGGTTGAGTGACAATTCTGAAACCATAGGAAAAGCCTGTGAAAAACGATCAGTGCATTCAACAATTTTCAATACTTTGCCAATGATGTACAGTCTTATTGTCAGCGTTGCTGTGGTTGCATCACATGACACACAAAACTGTCCTCTACCTCACGTGAGATTTAACAGATATTTTATATGGTTTTAGTAGACAAGATGCACCTATCTGGTCACTTAGTTTACAAATTTTGAATTATATTTATTGAAACATGGCATACTGTGCTCTTAGCTTATACCTCAATTGTATTTTGTGCTGTTATCCATTTCCATGCCTTGTAAATACCTGTATAGATCGTGGACTCAAAAACAAATAAAGAACTGTAATGTCAGAACATTTGTCTCTGTCGTATTTTTGAACACTGACCTCTAAACTTGTCTTTTGAAGGTGTTTAACTCAGTGCTTTTCTAAGGACAGAGCCTTCCTTGCCTTGATTACAGTAAATTAAAATCTGATTACACCAAAACTTGTTAGCAGAGCTCCCACAGCCTGCAGCAGGTCCCCAGTTCTCTTAAAGGTATTTTAAGCAAAATCAACAAGATCAAAGCTGTCCCTCCCCATGGATCCACTTTCTAAAGCTCTTAAGATTCTCTAAAGGTATTGGCACCAAGCTTTCTATGTATCTTGGCATAAATTTGGTGTTTGTACCTGAAAATAGAACTCCTTGCATACTTGGCAAGTTCTCTGGTGCCCAGCGTTGTTGCTGCTTGACTGCTCAAGCAATGTGTGAGTTGTTCACAACTCTCTTCCATAGCTCAATAATAAATGAGATCAAAAGCACACATCGCCAGATCAAATGCTGAGATTATCCAAAGTTAAAATCAGAAATGAGAATTTTACTCTATTTACTGGAAAAAAACCTAGTTACCGCTGATGGTAGAACTCTCAGGAGTTCTTAGTTTTTGTAAACCATATAATTATATTACCTTAACTTCTGCTACAAATAATATTTTGGAGACTTTCTGGGGGATTTTGTTCATACTGAAAAGATTTTGTTGATGCATAAGAAAGCACATTCACACATCTTTTGGCATTTTTTCTTCCCCTCAAATCACTGCAAAAATACTTTGTCCTTGTATTAAGGACCTGCTCTCCCATATAGGAAATCCTGATGATGTTTCAGATAATTGCAAACCTGCATTTTACAGATAAAGAGAGAAAGGAGCAGTATGAACCAGGATAAAGATGAAAATTACAATGATCAGCTCAGCCTTCGGTACAGAACAAAATTAAGAACTGACTGTACCACTTAACCTTGTTTATTTCTGCATCCCATATTGCTTTTGTATGCTGTCGTATTTCCAACCAGGGAACAAACAATGAGGCTGAAAATGTAAAGAAAAAGTTCAAGGTGAGTCATTTGGATGAGAAAGCCCTGAGGTGTTGATAGCTTGGATAGCTGTGACTAATTCCAATGCCTGTCTTTTGTCAGAGAGAACAATGCGGATCAGGGAAAACTCTGGGACTGAAGGCTAAAAAGATTGATTTTTAAGGAGCTCACACTGTTGCTGGAATAAATGCCGGCGTAAAAAGGCAGCTTTTGAGACTGTTGCCCAAAGTGTATCAGTTTATTTGGCATATAGCTGGCAAGTCGTTCTTGTTCCTTCTTTTATTGATCTTGTAAATCATTGTCCACTCGCCTTGTATGAACTTACATTCACTTAACTGTTGGTGGTGTGATTTATATCACTGACAAAATGGTGAATGTCTCCTGTCTCTATTGACACTAATGAAATAATTCACACTGTGCCCTGTGGGCGGCAGCTAGAGCTCTGTTGAACAGTGCTGGTTACCAAAGTGTCAAATTTACTCCTTGCTCCTGCACACTCCTTGATAAATACATTTGTGAAGGAAAACATGGAGTTAAGAAGCTTTTGTGGTTAAGGAAACCAAAAATGGAGAAGACTGAATTACAGAAGGATGTATATACCAATGAATACCTTGCAGCATTTAAAAAATACTTATGTTGTGTATTAGGATGTGCCTGCACAATCACAGTGTAAAATGATTCCAAACCTCAACTTTGGGGTGAAATCTCTCATCTCCTTTGAATTCGAGAGGTGTCCATGGTCTGTCCAATGCAATTGCTCAGTCCAAGAAGTGGAACAACCCCACTTTCACCCAAAAGATTGCAAGTTTATCTCCTGAATAGTAAATAAGAAGGAATGGTTTTTAGGGGAAGATTAAATCCATCTAGAATTGAGCCCTAGACAACATAGATTTGTGTTTGGATATCAGTAACAGCACACTACACCTGAGGTGGGTGCAGTGGAAGGATAGGCCATGCAGGAAGGTGGAATCACATCAGGAAATTTCATGGACGGCCAGCTGGCAGCTTGGCTTCGCAGAAATACCATAAACCAGGTATAGAAAAAAGCCAAGGAATAATCAACAATATAAAACAAATATGAAAACAGCTATTAAATTTATATTTATTAGAATTATCTTCTCTTGAAAAAGAACTTTCAACTACACCGGTAGTGCTCCAGTGTTCAGATAAAGCTTCTACAGAAAACTGTGACCTCATGTCCTTGAATTTTGGATCTAAGGAGCAGGTGACAAATTCTAGTTAGGATGCTCTTGTTCAGGTTTTTCCTCTTAGTTGTTAAAGAACTATGCAAAAAATATCCTTGGATGAGGAGCAGGATGTGTTTAATTCCTGGCACTTTAAAGTCGGAGTGGCGTTTCCCGTATTTCTCTCTCACTGACAGCTCGAGGAGTGAATGAAATTCATTGTTGTGTCACTTTCTGGTCCTGTTCCTGCCCGTGCACCGCAGGCAGCTCTCCACTAGTGGTCTCTGCAGGCATGCGGCATCCTCCTCTTTCAAACCTTCCCTTCCCAAAGCCAGCAGCGCTGGAGAACACACAGCAATGAAATATCCTCAGGGATGTGCTGGCACGCGAGAACATACATATGTGCCGTGAAATACAGAGCGAAGCTCGCACAATGTCCTGCCTGCCCGTTTCTCCTGGTGCAGAACGGGAAGATGTGAAGTTTCCGCACCTCTGGCATTTTGAAGTGGGCTGCTTCTGTTTTACCAAACGTACTAAAATTCATATAGTAAATTTACTCGGACTAAAAGTCTGAGTTAGAAGGTGCTCGTTTTAATTTGAGGGTTCAAAAGTGCGACTATGGTGCTGTTAAACACGTATTTAATACTCAGTGAGTGTTAGTTAATAGTTCTGAAAGCCCAGGCACAGCGGAGAAAGCAGTGGCAGGTCTTTTATGTTTTTACAATTACTGGAAACATCAGGAGAGACCCAAGGCTGATTTTGTCCCTTTACAGCAGCTGTGCTGATGGCTTTGATGAGGTGATCAATTCCCCACCTTGAGTAACTCTGTCCACCACATTTCTCCCTTACCTTTCCATGAGGGCGTACCAGTGCGACTATAAAAGTTCAGCCGGCAAGCACTGCCTTAATCTTTCTCCCTCTCTGCTAAATTTCGAACTGTCGGGCTGTTTGTTTGCATTTAAATAAACCCCCCCGGTTTGTTTTCCCAGCACGGCTGGGTGCGATCGTGCATCTCCTGCGCACTCCCTCCTTCCCTCGCACGCTGGGATGCTCCGGCAGAAGTTGGGGCTCCTCTCTTGCTCCTCCCCTGCCTGTGGGGCCGGAGGCAGCTCTGACCCCTCCCAGGGAGGGAGCTGGGCAGAGGCAGCCGAGTGTTTGAGCAGAGCCTGAGCAGGGAGCGGCTCCTGCCCGTCCCATCCTCCCTCTCCAGCAGCCGGGACTCGCTGACCCCGTGGGCACTGTCCTGTCCAGCTGTCCCCAGCCCAGCCGGAGATGGTGGCCACCTGCCTGCACCTGGCCGGATTTGTCTGCAGCTTTGTCGGGTGGATCGGGGTGGTTGTGGCCACGGCCACCAACGACTGGGTGGTGACTTGCGGCTACACCATCACCACCTGCAGGAAAATGGATGAGCTGGGATCCAAGGGGCTGTGGGCAGACTGTGTCATGGCAACAGGTCTCTATCACTGCAAGCCCCTCGTGGACATCCTGATACTGCCAGGTGAGTGGGTCCCATCCTCCCCTTCCCACCCCGAGTGGGGGATGAAGCCTTGCCTTGCCCAGAGCAAGGTGCTGCTGCCACAGGAGGTGATGGTGAAGCTCCTCCAGCTGGTCCATTAAATGCACTAAAGAAGGTGAATGATAGCTCTTAACATGATTCTCATTGATTTACACCTGGTTTTAATCGTACCCAGGTTTTCTGTGGCTGCTAAAATTCTGTTAATATTTAATCGTTGCTCTTTGTAAAAATCTCACTGCTCCTCTCACATCTTGTCTCTGGATTGCCCTGCAAAACATACAGAGCACACTGAGGTGTAATAGAGCATTTCAAGGGGAGGGTGAGCTACTACAAATGTTAAGGTTTGATTCCTTAAAGTGATTTGGAGCGTAATGAATCTTTCAGCATCTATTATTAATGCTGCTATGGCTTTTAATCTTTCAGAAGATCATCATTAGTCTTGATGGTCTTGTGCTTCCCACGGATTCTGAGGCAAGACAGAGCGTTTACACAGCAAACTGATGTAACTACATTTAACTTGATATTTTCAATTATATAGTAACTTTCATCTAGTTTATTGGAAAGCAAAAATTAAGCAAGGTGTTTAATCAGCATTAATACACCTTTTGGGCCAATTAAACCTGCCAAAGTCTTGTGAGGTCTGGTCCCTGTAAGTTTAGTTTGTGAGCTTGCCAGTTTCAACCACTGTTCACTCTGTAGCACTTCATTCTGCTGTGTTATAGATCGCAACTCCTCTACCATGACAAAGGTGCCTGTCTCAAAGCTGACAGGGCAGAAATGACCATTCCTTGTCATTTGCTTTCATGTTTCCTTATTTACTGGTTTAAATTGTTGTGAAGATAATTTTACAAGAGGTGAAAAAGATAATTCCTGAATGTTTCTCTGTTACAGAGCTTGGTCTGTGGCACAGAGCACTTAGGAATGTTGAGTGTCTCATTCCCCCTTTCTCTGTGTGTGGTTACTTTTATTTCAGTAAGTTTGCCTTCCTTACTGCTACTGTTGTTAAATCTGATCCAGTAGAGAAGACTGAGGAAGGTTTGCCCCAAAGAAATATTCGTGAATACAACTTAATAAATAAGTGAATGGGTCTTGCAGTAGCAGAGAGCAAAGCTTCCCTCAAGTAGAAGCAAATCACAAAGCAAGATATTTCTGCTTGTAGCCTGTTGATACCCACAGCCTGGCATGAGAGGGAAATTTATCCTGGTGTGCCCAATAGCTGAAATATATTTAGAGCCTTTCTTTGTCTGAGTCAAGTTTTTAAAATGAATTGTTTGTAGTCTCATTTACTTGGGATTG